TTCCAGTTTTTGTTGCCAACAAGTTATGATTGAGGAGCACTGAAAACTGGGCTCTAGAATTTCTTTAATTGGAGAATTATTGCTTGGATTCAAATTTTATGGCTTAATCCCATAATGGATGAATTGGCTAATTCTGAAGGAATACATTTCATTTAGGGGAGATCTATGTGTAGGTATTTATCCACTGAATTTATAGAGTGTATAATTTAGCTCAAACTCAGAACTTTAAAAAATATATACTTGAAAAGCAGTCATGAACTTTAAATACCAGACTAGTGAACACAGACAGAAAGAATAGGGAGAGTTGAACAGGAGAGGAGAATGGGATACATTTACATGAAAGAAACAAGATCGTAAACAAAGCAAAGGCGATGTAAAAGATCGCTAATGTAGCAGACAATGTACTCGATTTAATAACTACCTAAGTTTATTTTATTCTGGCCCTGGCATAATATGTGGGCAGGCATGACAGTTACTATTACTATTTGCTTTATGAACGGGGAAAAGATGCAATCGCTTTTACTTCTGACACTTTATATAGCAGATTTAACAAACAAATGTGTCTTGCAAGAAGTGCAGCCAGAGTGCTCCTTTGAAGGGAGAATGGTAAAACATCATTGCATAGGCTTTGGGCAGATTATTATGAGAAGCCAGCCGTGAAGTAGGATATTGTTCTTGGAAAAGTAGATAGCCAGTGAAAGAGGCTTCAGAGCTGTTGTGCACAGGGTTGCTATGAGTCATAGGCGACTTGACGGCACATAGCAGCAGCAGCGGAAGCAGCAGCAACAACAACAACAACAAACCAAGTATTTAGAACTCTAAGATTAATCTAAGTACATAGAGAAAACCTCAAGGTTTGAATTTGGTTGTGGTTTTTTTTTTTTTTTTGGTTTTGTTTCTTTCAGTTTGAGAAATGCTGCACAAGGTCTTCCCTTTTTATTCTCCAATTCCAAGGTCTCTCTGTATTCTAATAGGTTGTTTTGTCTTCTCTAGCTGCCTTTTTTGAAAAAATATTTAATTGTGATTTTAACAAAAGTTTACATAAAAGTTGGATTTTCATTCATTCATTGGTGCACATTTTTATCCCCTCTTTCTCCCTTCCCCTCCCCCAGTTCACTTTTTTGGTTTTTTGAAATGTTCATTGGTTGTTGTACAATTACCTCCTTCCCCCCCTCCCCAGTCCTCCTTACAGTGCCTCTTATCCTGGCCTGTTGTTGTACTTATGTACCTACATATATTCCTTTAAACTTTTTTTAAAATTTTATTATTTTTTGTGCATTGTACTGTCAAATCAGATCTGACTGGTACAGGAGGAGATTGTCCCTCCTTCTCCAGCAGAGCATCCGGTGGATTCGAACCAGGCACATCTGGGATTGCAGTACAACTTCTTGCCACTAGGCCACCAGAGCTCCCTAAACTTCCTTTCTTCATCTGTTCTAGTGCAACATTCATTATCTATTCACCTTCTCTTCCCAAACCTCCATGTCAGACCTTTTTTATAACAGTGGTTTTATGCAGTATATATTCTTTTGTTACTGAGATATATCACTTAGCGTAATGGCCTCCAGGGTCACCCATGTTGTGTAATGTGCTATATAGTATTCCATTGTATAAATATACTATAGTTTTTCTATCTATTCACTTGTTGACAGAGAGAATAAGTCTTCCAATCTCTCCATATGCTTGCCAGTATTTATTGTTTGCTACTCTCTTCAACTTGCTATTGTTGCTGGGGTGAGATGCTATCTCATAGTTGTTTTTATTTGCATCTCTCTGATAGCTAGGATTTTGAACATTACTTCATGTGTTTGTTTACCATCTGAATGTCTTCTTTGGTGAAGTATCTATTCATATCATGTGCAGATTTTACTACTGGGTGGTTTCATCTTTTTCTTGTTAAGATGCTGGAGTGAAAATGACAAGGAAACACTACATGGTTTAAAATTAAGAAAGAAAGTGGCGAGAGCTTGTGGACAGAGTGTAGGAACCTTGTGTGGAGAGAAGGAAAAGGATCATGGGAAAAAGCACCTGGATCCAACATGGAAGAAACTTCCAAGTCATCTCTATGTTGCAAACAAATTAGCCATTGTTCCTTCAATGCTTGCCACCACATTCCTTGGGCTGAAATCAATCATATCTAAAGCTGAGATGATACAGTTATATTGAGGATGATGCTGTCAATCAACCAAGGAACTTTGGTCAAAAGAGACCCTCACTGAGAGCATATGGCAGTGCCCTCCTTGTGATGAAGAATGGAATAAAGATTTATGAGAACATACAAGCACCCTATTTCTCTGAGGCACAGCTAACAGCAACAATAGCCGTGCAAGCAGGATAGCTACAGAGTAACTGTAAATCTAGCTTCAGGCTTGTGAGTTCCCAAGTCTCTCCACATGTTCTGTCATGGAAAAATAATAGAAATGAAGAGTAACTGAGTATCTCCTCAAAAGCCAGACTTAAGACTTAATGCTGCTTCCTGCTACCAGTGTGTTCTTCATTTTCTCCTAATCTAATTACAGAAAGATAAACTATGGCTTTCAAGCTGAAAAACAAATTTAAAACGTATACATCGAGGTGTATTCTTTCTCCATACCTATTCAATCTATACACTGAGTAACTAGACTCTAAAGAATAATGTGGTATCAAGCTTGGAGGAAGACTTATCACTATGCAGAAGATACAACCTGCTTGCTGAAAGTGAGGACTAGAAACACTTGCTGTAGAAGGTCAAATATTGCAACCTTCAACATGGATTGCATCTCAATATGAAGAAAACAAATTCTCACCACTGGACAGATAGACAACATTATGATGGATGGAAAAAGACTGAAGCTGTCAATGACTTTTAGATCCACAATCAGAACACATGGGACCAGCAATCTGATGTATTGCACTGGTAAAGGCTGCAGTCAGGGACCTGAAAATTACTGATGAACAATGATGTTAGTTTGAGGACAAAATTGTGCCAGATTCAGAACATGTTCCTTTCAATCTCTTGCTATGCCTCTGAGAGTTGGACAATGTATAAAGATGATGGAAGAAAAATTGACGCTTTGAGCTGTGGTGTTCTATAAGAGCACTGAACATCCCACGCACAGCCAAGAAAACAAACTGATGTATCTTGCAGAGTGTGCAGACAGAGTGCTCTTTGGAGGCAAGAATGATGAGGCTTTGTCTCACATACTTTGGACATGTTGCCAGGAGGATATGATGTTGGGAAGGGTACCGGGTCAGCGAAGGAGAGGAAGACCCTCAACCAGGTGGACTGACACGGTGACTGCTGTAATGAGCTCTTTTGTGTCAGGAAGTCTGAGGATGGTACAAGATAGAACAGGGTTCAGATCTTTTGTTCATAGTATCATGATGAGTTATACTCAATTTGATGACACCTAAAAGGGCACAAAGAGATGAATGAAGTATGTAATTTGTCCAAATCCAGGGATACTAAATAGTTAGACTATAGGATTGATAGAAGAAGAAAATGTTTTACAATGAGAGACTCATCTTATTTCATACATCAAAACAGTACTAAGATCATCAAAACTCTGGACTTTTTGAATTTAAGGGGGAAAAATAATCTATGCTCAGTACAATTTGATGTTTTATGATTCTTAAAAGGATTAATAGATAACCAGCTTTCTAGGCCACCATTCTTCACAAATAGAGGTCTGCTAAACTTTATTATTTTTATGTATTCACAATAAAATAGTTAACTATGAGTTCAAATTTGTTCTTGAATATTACTCTTGTTTTTATATTTGCATTTTATTTGTTAGATTTTAAGATTTTGCATGCAAAATAGTTTTGTCCCTTCTCATAGTTAAATATACAGCAATGATACTCGCAATCTCAGTCCAATATCAAAGGTAAATTCAGGCTAGTTGAACTCTGTTCACTAACTGGGATAGAACTAATGGAAGTGTTACCTCCTGTGTTTCTCTTTATTTCTCACTGCCATCTACTGGTGCCTAATATTGCTTATGACTAAAATCCTTAAGACAGTCTACCATAGGGATTTTTTTTTTAAGAGAATGAAGCCTTTATTTCCTTGTTTCATACAAAGCTGGTAGAGTTGGTGGCTTTTTGGTCATTGGTCAAAGAGACCAAATCCCATATTCTCGCCTGATTCTTCCTTTGCTTCCACCTTGGCTGGGGTCGCAGCAGCAGGAGCGGCGTAGTGGCAGCAGCCACAGGGGCAGCAGACACAAATGCAGATGGATCAGCCAGAGGGAAGGTGTGCTCAGTCTCCAGAGACAAAGCCAGGACCTGCTTGTACCCACTGATGATGGAATGTGGTACTGAGGCCACAGCTGGGTAACCAATCTGCAGACAGACGCTGGCAACATTGCGGACACACTCCAGGAAGCGGGTATGCAGAGTCTCTTCTGTGATGTCAAGCACTTCAGGATTGTAGATGCTGCCATTGTCAAACACCTGCGGATAATCAGCCCGACGGAGAAGGGGGAGATGTTCAGCATGTTCAGCAGGGTGGCCTCGCTGGCTCCCACCTTGTCTCCAGTCTTAATCAGCTGCACATCACTCAGGATTTCAATGGTGCCTCTGGAGATCTTAGTGGTGATGCCCAAAGCCTGGAAGGAGGTCTTCTTGGGGCCCAGACCAGTGTTCTGGGCCGCACGGTAACCTCACACGGAGCAATGGCACCAGCACGGGCAGCAGCCGGCATCTTGTTGGCCAGCAGCATGTCCCTGATCTCAGTGAGATCCTCTTTGGTGAGCACAAACCCCACATTCCCCAGGATGTGAAGCAGCAGCTTCTCCAGGACCGGGTTGATGTCCAGGTGGCCCCAGATGTCCTTGCCATCATGGTGTTCTTGCCCATCAGAACCACAGCCTTCCCACGGAGGGACATGCGGATCTGCTGCATCTGCTTGGAACCCCCATTGTCTGCACCCACGATGAAGCATTTGAATGAATCTTAAGGAAGTTGAATGATCTTAAGAAAGTAGTTGCACTTCCAGATCACCCTGCCTTCCCTGGGCATCACGGCCTTGCGACAGGGATTGCCATGCGGGGTTTAAAGACGATGTCACTCTCATGAGGATGCCTGGCCAGTGCCTACCATAGGGATTTATAGATAAAGAGGTTAGGACATCACAGAAATTCTTTGGAGCAGTTCTTTTCCAAGAACTATATATCATTTTGATAGATAAGAAGGAACCCTCGTAGTTGTTTTTTTTTTCAATGATGGATGGCTAACCTCAAAGTCAGTGATTAGAACCCAGGAAAGGTTCCAACAAAACGGCCTCAGAAGTCTTATAGGGAAGCTCTATTTTGTCCCCACAGTGGATAATAAAAGCTACCATAAATTGTTGTCAGAGTCAAGGCCATTGTGGGCCTGTGAACTATGGATGTGAACCTTGTCCTATCCTTTGCCATCCTCATCATCTCTGATACACCCGAGCCCATTGTTATAGTCACTATATAGATCCATCTTGTTAAGGGTTTTTTTTCCTCTATTTCCCTGACCCTCTCTTCCTTGCCAAACATGGTGTCCTCTAAGGTCTGGTCCTTCTCAAACTCACCCTCAAATGAGAAACCTGGATACACTTTCTCCAAGACATACTTGTTTGTTCTCGATAGTCCATGGGATATTCAGTATTCTTCTCCAAAACGAAAACTCAAAGGCATTGATTCTTCTTCTATCTTCCTTAGTAATTCACTGTCCAACTATGAATTTTTAAAAAGTTAGTATTTAGCATTCTTTAGCATTACAGGGCTGTCCAGTTAAAATGGGAATGAAAAACAGAACAAAAACAACTCTTAAATTCATTGTTCTGGAGTTGGAACTGACTTATAATGGAAATGTAATTTTTTGTTGTCATTAGGTACTATAGATTCCAATTTTCAGCAACCCTTTGCACAAAAGAATGAAACACTACCTAGTCTCTGGGCCATCCTCACAATCGTTCTGTTTAGCCAACTGTTACAGTCACTATGTCAATCTTCTTTGTATGAGCTTTAATTATTGTTGCGTACCATTGAGTTGGGACTGACCCATAGCTGACCCTCCAGTTGGTTTTCAGAGGCAGTTTAATCACATGGGAAGAGACTGCCCATATTTCTCCGGCAGAGCAGCTGGTGAGTTCAAACCAAATGGCTTTGGGATTTCAGGAGAGTCTAAAACCAGAAGTTCATTTTAAAGTGTTGATGTGAATCTGGAGCCGATGTTGGATTTTAAGAAGCTGCCTTTCCAAAAATGAAAATCATTCTTTTTTTTTAGCATAAAATAGCAAAGATAGATTAGAAAGTTACAGCCCCAAAGTGATGGCCCTCACTCCTTGAAACATGAAGAGAGGCAGAAAGTCCATTTAATCTTGAGAGTGAATCTGACCACCTCCTTTTCTCTGAGGTCTGGCAAATGAAGGATCTCTAATCTACTCCCAAAGTCTTTGCCATGATGGAAAATAGATGATAGATTTGTAGGGTCCCGAGATATAGAATTATCTAATCTTTAAGGGACCTCCAGGAACAGACATGACTAAGAAAGCAATTTAATAGCAAAACAAATTTCCCAAATACCAAACCCACTGCTGTAGTGTGCTTCTGACACAGTGACCTTTCATTTGGCTTCCAAGGTTGTCAGTCATACCGGGAGGGGACTGCCCACCTTTCTCCTTTGTGACAGCTGGAGAACCTGGCATTTATCAGCCTGAGATATGACTAGTGCTTTTTACTTAACTAATTCTTGTTATTTGCCCACTACAAGTAGTGTTACTAGAAATATAGGTGAAAAATTGAGAAGAGACTTCTGCCTTAACACAATAAAAATTCCCGAACGACTGACCTCATTCCTCTGGAATACAATTTATTTTAAATTAGGCTGAAGCCACTATGTGTTATCAAATGGTTTCAGTTCATGTAGCATACAGCGGGTTTTGTGATAGAAATTCATGTTGGACTTTGACTTTACTTTTTGCATTAAAACATAGAAGGGGTGTGAAAGTGAATCTTACAGTTTACTGAGAAGTGTTCTGTACTTATTTGCTTCTGGGTAAAAAAATACATATACAGTGGAAGACTTATTATTCTAGACTTATGGTGGCTTGGTGTTAGGAATTGCATGCTAATGCAAAGATATGTGGTTCTAATCCACCAGGTGCTCTGTGGGAAAAGGCTGGGCAAGCTGTTACCATGCAATTTACTGCCTTTGAAAACCTACTGGAGAGTTGGCTATGGGTCAGTTCTGATATAATTGGATACAACAGTATTTCTTTAGGGAGCTCTTCTGACTAAGTAAGGAGTTGCACTGCCAACCTAAATATAGTTCAAATCCATCAGCTGCTCTGAAGAAGAAAGATGGGCAATCTCCTCCTATGGGATTTACTACCTCTGAAAACCAACTGTAAAGTCATTTATGGGTCAGTACCACCAAGATTGAAGCTGTCAATGATTAAATCTTGCTTGGAAAAACAATCAATGCCCTTGGTAATAGCAATCAGGGTATCAGGAGTTAATGTTTTGGGAAAGTCTGCTCTCAAAGACCTTTTCAAAATGCTGAAGAGCAATGGTGTTAGTTTGAAGACTAAGATGCACCTGATTCAGGCCATGGTCTTCTCAACTTCCTGCTACACATCAGAGAGCTGGGCAATGAATGACAGAAGAAAAACTGATGCCATTGAGTTGTGCTGGAGAAGAGTGTTGAATATCCATGGACTGCCAAAAGAACAAACAGGTATGTTTTGGAGAAGGTTTAGCCAGAGCCCTCCTAGGGGACAAAGTTGACAAAGCTTCAAGTCTTTCATACTTTGGACATTGTTGAAGCTATTCTTTAAAATGGAACATCATACTTGGACAGCTGGGAGAACCAGCAGAGAGGAAGACCCTCGTTGAGATGGACTGACATGGTGACTTCAGAAACAGGAACGAGTGTGTCAGAGACGATGCAGATGGTACAGGTTCAGAAGACATGGTTCAGGTTGGCTGTTCATAGGGTCGCTGAGTACTCAACTGGCGGCACCTAACAACAGCGGTTCTTTAAAATGGACTTTCAAAACCATAAATGATTAAAGAAACACTTTTGCCAATATTGCCACTGAGCTGCTTCCAATTCCTAGTGACCCTCTATTGGGTTTTGGAGGCTATAAATAACAAAGCAAAGAGACTATTTTGCTTTCTCCTGTGTAGCTGCATGGGGATTTGAACTATCAGAGACCACGACTTTTGGGTTAGGAAAATAACATGTTAAGGACGATATTAATTTTACTAAGAGAACTGATGCTTTTGAGCTGTTGTGCTGGAGAACAGTATTGAATATACCATGGATGGCCAAGAGATTCTAGGTTCATCCTAGAGAGTGAGACCAGGCTGCTCCTTGGAGGCAAGGATTCTGCGGTTCTGATATACTCTGGGCATGTTGTAAGGAGGGACTGGTCCTTGGAGAGCGATGTCAAGCTTGGGAGGGTGGAGGGACAGTGCAGGAGAGGAAGACCCTCAATGAGATGGATTGATTTAGGGACTGGGTAATGAGGGTAGACGTGTCAAGAGACATTAAGGTTGGCACAAGATAGAGCAGGTTTCGGGGCTATTGTACATAGAATTGCTATGAGTCACAAGCGCCTTGACAGCACCTACCAACAATGTTTTTATCCTTCATCGAGTCAATTTCTGGTCTGCTCATACTTTGCCCCTCTGAATAGATGAGTGTGTACAGCTGTAAGCAGTAGCCAGTACAGATTGCTGCAATTTGATGGCTAGCTTGAGAGTGGACTTTGTGGCTGTAGATGCTCATAGATCAAAACTGGAACTGAAAATCTTTAAGATCCAGAGGCACATGCTTGGATTCTCAGAGAGCTTATGTTGTTCATTGCTATCATGTTGATTATGACTTGTAGTGATGCTGTGAACAAGAGATCTGGACCTGGCCTTGTTCTGGGCCATCCTCACTTTCTCTGCCATGTTCAAGTCACTTTGTTAATGCATCGTGCTAAGGGTTGTCCTCTCTCACTGGGCTCTCCACCTTCCCCGGCATGTTGTCTCTCCAATGCCGGCCCCTCCTGATAATATGCCTAAAGTATGCTTCACCACCTTTGTTTCTAGCGAGCACCCTGCTTGCGTGTTCTCCAAACTCTATTTGTTCTTTTGGCACTGAGATATTCAGTAGTTCTCCAACACCACAACACAACAGAAAGGCACCAATTATTGTTCTGTATTCCTTATTCACTGCCCAACTTTTAGATGTGCAGGAAGCTACTGAAAATACCGTGCTTTGGATAAGGTCTGTTTAATCTTTAATCTTCCACCATTTAGCACTTTGGAGAGATACTTGACAGATTTTTCCCAACGTAACATGTCTTTTGATTGCTGTTAGCATGGCTTTTATGTGTGGGTCCAACTAAAATAAAGTCACTGACAACTCATTTTTTCCTCTCCATCTAGAATGGTGTTTCCTATTGGTCCTAGTGGTGATGATTTTTGTTTTCTGGATATTGAGATGTAATCCACATTGAAGGCTGTTGTCTTTGATCTTCTGCAGTGAGAGCTCCAAGTCCTCTTCACTACCTGCAAGCAGGGTTGTCTCATCTAACACAGCTCTGGTGCCACGGTGTGTCCTCCACTGGCCAGGTCACAGTGCACCAGCAGGGGGCTCAGGCATTCACAAACCTCCTGTACTCCTATTTAGTCAGCCCTTACCTCTGTAGGCTAGGTCAAAGAGCTTCTCTAATCCCAAGGAAACTTCTACTTTTACTGGCTATCTAAACAGGGGGAAAGGCAGAGAGATAATGATTCAGAATGAGTAGAGGGAGGATTGCACGGAGAAGATTCCTCTTCTGATAGGTCTGGATCATGCCGACAGGATTATGTTCAGCGTTGACTGTTAATGGCTAAATTGTGATTGTAAAGATTCTAAGTGGAGAAGCAATAACTCAAAACAGTGGACTAGGAGGTACTGCTTATAGTTGTAGCTCAAAGGTTGTTATCTTGATCCCTCAAGAGAGCTTGGGAGCGAGTGAATAATCTCTCAGAATCATCAGGCAGTTTCCTTCTACTGTACACAGTGTCCATATGAGTCAGAGGCAACTCTGTTGATGTTATTATGTGCTTCTCCAGAGAACAGG